GAATCCATGTACAAATTTGATCCTTGGCATTGCTTCCATTTAGGAAGTGGCAAGAGTTTTGCATCCTCCGCCATAGCGGTCATGTCGAAGCATTGTGTTGGATCAAATGTTGATGAAAGGTTTGCTGGATTGAATGAAGACTATCACAATTTCTGTCGCAGAAAGAAATTGAGCTCATTTATCACACAGCTGACCAAAGACACCATTGGCTGGCCAAGCAGCACGGACTTTCCTTCCGCAGTTTGGAACGCCAGAATGGGAGATTTGAAGATCCTTTGCTTGGTTTCCAGGAGGAAGCAGCCAGATGTATCAATGCATGTTTTGCAGGTCTCTACGAGGGGGATGTATGGTTGAGCTCAGCCGAAGCAGCTCGGCTAGGCCATCTTGGTCTTCGATACTTGTCGCACTACGACAAATTAGCCAAGACAGCTTTTCATTTGGACAGAAGCCTTTACAAAATGATGCCAAAGTTACATGCCCTCCACCATTTGTGGTTGAATGATCTGGTGTTGAAATCGCAAAAGTGCTCTTGGGTTTTGAACCCCATAATTTTTGGCGTACAGCTTTCTGAAGATGCCATCGGAAGGTTATCGAGAACAAGCCGGCGAGTTCACCCAAAGACTGTCATTAGGCGTGTTCTAACACGCTATTTGACAGAAGCCCATGGCGAATGGGTCAAGAGCGGATATCTTCAAGGATGAGGAAAGACATCCATTGCCGCGCTCTGAAGATTTCTGATGGAGGGTGTTGATATTTTGGGTGACATTGACAAGTCTTAGTGAAATCATCAAAAACATGAATTTAGTAAAACCCGGTTTTGGTCACGAAAACTCGTTTTTTCTGAGCAGCTGTCTTTTTCGAAGGTTGTGGTTGGTACAGGTATATATATATATACATGTATTATATCATTGCATATATACATGGGGATCATGGTTCAAAGATGTTTGTAAGGGTCCACGTAGGTAAAAAAAATAACACATGCATGGAGCGTTTGGGAGATCCAAACAAAACGAAAACACGACCTCAAACATCATAATGGTGTCATATATGTCAGACTCGCTCATCGATCTCAGCTAGGAACCAGGCAAAGCAAGCTGCCAGCGAGCCTGGGCGCGGTGCCTTAGAGCGGAGGACGCAAAACGGATGCCGAATTGCCATGAATTCACAAGGCTGTTTGTTTTCCCTATAGGGCTCTAACTGGCTCCGTTTCGAAGATGGTTGGGGTGGGTGCCAGGGGCTTTGCGCCCGCCGATCTTGAGGATATGGGCCAGGAGCCCTAGAGTTTGATAATGCCCAGAAAGTCGTGTTTTTTTGATCCTGCCTTGGAATACCCCCCAAGCAGGTGATCACACGTCAGTGGTCAGTGTGTGTGTGTGCGTTTTATAGAATGGGTTTTAGAATGGCAGACTCCCCAGTTGCAATCCTAGCAAAAACCGGACATGACAATGAGGTCGACACCGAAGAATATGGTTGAACAGATGATGCGGTAAAATGCGGTAAATATGGGGATCATAAATCACCATTGTAGAAACCGAGCGACCCACCCAGTTATAAATAGCCTCATAGTGTTAAATAGTTCGATAGTATTCACAATATGAATTACCGGTGTTGTACTTTTTCCCCGGGAAGGTAGCTATATAGCAATGAACCTAAAACGGACGCCTCTACTACCGACGTCGGGAAACGCTACTCCTCTACTACCTCTCCAGCTGTCCAGACCGTAGACCGGTCTACCTCACCGGTGTCAGTCAGGTTGCTGAAGGCCGATCAGTCTGAGACCGAAGAGAAGGCGCACCGCGGCCGCGGGGGACGCCGCGTCGCGCGGGTGACGCCGAACAGCGGGACGGACCGGAAGGCCTCGGAATGCGCAAGGCCGGACCGTGAGGCAGGGCACGTAGATGCGTTAGGCATGGTCCCGTGGTATGTTTTCCCGTGGCAGCAGAAAGGCGTGCAGCGAAAAAACTAGTTATAATATGAACCTGGAAAACCTGGTGTACCTTTTAAATAGTACACTGCTCCAAGTGCACGGTTTTCTGTATTTCCTAACTTGGCTACTGATGCACAAACACTTTGCACATAGCCCAATCCAAAGAAGTGTATACCAAAGAGGCCAACATCACTGGGACAACTTGCATGCGTCATCAACCACCACCAAAATATGAACACAACAACTCCGCCAATAGCAACATTTGTTCATGTTGCCATTCATGTGGGAAGACCTCTCATGTGCCCTCCTTGGGTGTCACCTCAACAAACCTGAATCGCACCCTGCATGTCAATGTCTTTTCTGACTGCGCTTGCCAAAGTGTCCGTGGTGGGCCTACCAATGAGTGAACAACGCAACCCGGTAGCGGTTCAGCGTCCTCTCATGAACCGTTCTGCTGCTAACGACCTGAGACCTGGAGCAGATTTGCCCGACCAAATCCTCGTCCATTTGCGTGCTGAAGGTAAGAGGCGACAAGGAAGTAATTCCGGCACGCTTCTGAACTTCCAGTTCAAAAACAAGCTCAGCAAACATATGATACTTTGGCTGCAACTTCCACCTGCACATATCGAAAGAGTACGCAAGACGCGCGCACGTCATGAACTCAGCCATGAAAGCCCGCCCAGATTGAATTAGGATGTCACGCTCACGATCGTCCAGCCAAAGCGCTCCATGGTATACAGTTCTCATGAACAAGTTGGCATTCTGAAGCAGGCCAGCCATGGACACAAAATATTCACGCACTTTGTCTTCCAGTGCTGGAATCTCTCCAGCAAGCCTTTGTTCCAAGTAAGCAAGGATCGACACTGTGTCTGCTCCTTTGAACCAGTTCCTGAGTCCAAACCACTGTCTCAGGGAAGATGACCAAATGAATGAAACCATAAACACATGGTTGGACAATTTTAATGTAGAAACATTCAAGGAACCCTGCAGGAAATGCACTGGAATTCGCATAGCCCACGATAGTCCGCGTGAGGCTTTGCAAATGCAACTGCAGCGACTCAGCGCGACAGAATGCCTTCAGATCGCTGTAGATAAGCTCAAGGCACTTCTCAACACTCTCATTTTCGTAGACAAAGTCGACCAAGGCCAACTCAGTCAACGGCTATAAGATCACTTTTCTTGAAAAACTATTAACCAAACAGCACACCAACGAACATCCAAAAACGTTGCCCTGTTTGCAGCGAAGATGCGACTGCATTCGCCCCTGCATCGGCCATGACCCCCTTATGGCATGTGTGAAACAAGTCAATGCGAAAAAACAGATGCTTGTAGGCGTCCCCAAGAGCCAGATTGCTCACAATGCCTGGCTCACGCTGCCATGGCATCGGTAACTCAGAGCGCATCTTGGTCATGTTGCCGAAGGAAACATCATGCCAAGCATTTGAAGGCATACCACCTTTACACAAGTGACAAATACCATGTCCACCCTCTTTCGTCGGGGTATCACGAAGATGATGGCGATTTAGCTGCCCGATCTTCACAAGCGCCGGCCAATCGCCTTTGAATGCGATGGGGACAAGCCAGATCCTCTGAAGGGCTCCCTCAAAGTGCACATCCAACCCTTGCTCAAAGAGCATGCGAAGTTCAGTGGCAAGATGGTCCACAAGCCGTAGAAGCGGCTTGGGGTTGGCCTCCTTCTTGCCCTTCTTCCCACTGTAGACATGCGCCATCATGACACTGTAAACCAATCGGGTGCAAAGTGATTTGCCAACAAAATTGACACCAGGCGAATCTTGATCAGCTTTACGCTTCCTTGTCCCATGCCCCATGCACACTTGGGTCTGTAGAACCAGCATCCCTCGTTTCTTTTGAGAGGTACCTTCATCTGCATGTATGCAAATAGGCACACATCGTCCTAAGTGTGACCCATGCAGCTCGAATACAGGATGCATTGGTTGTTGACCACGCCACTTGCTCCAAAAGTCATGGTACTGTTTTGAGGTGTTGCCCATGAAGAACCAAGAATTCATTTTGCCATTCCTGTCCAGGCACTGGATGGTATCACTCAATCTCAGAGTGGGGTGGGAGCAAGTCAATCCCACGTCAACATCAGTAATTGGGATGTCAGCGGTTAGGTTGAATGCCTGAAACTTGTTCGACATCTCACACTCATGACCCGTCTGCGAAAGACGGGAAGCCATTTGCAAAAACCTTGCGCTTGGTAATCGTGCAGAATCAGTTGAAGATTTGCTCACCTCTTCCCAGAAGGCTGCAGCAATGGTGCAAGCATGTTTTTCACTTACCTCGGAAACTCTTCCCACGCCAAACTCATTTTTTGCAGGATATCTATATACATATATAGCACATGTAGAAACAATAATGAACAATCACCATAAAGCAGGTCGATCCTTGAAAAAGACACTCCAGAAGCTATGGCAGATGCAATCGCTTTTGCTGCTGGGCCAGTGGAAGTTGGAAGCCGCGCTGCGAAGTGGCTCGGTTCGGGTTTGGCACCTGCGCAGGGTAAAGATTGGGAGCCAGCAGTCGTTGGTTGGCTGGTGACCACGGTGACCACGGTCCTACAGGTTGCCGGCTGCCATTTTGCACCCCATCGCAACACTTCACAACCACTGTGGGTTGCCAGAAATCACAATGATGAACATCGCATCACTTGAGTATACCCAAAACGGCCCATAATGGAAGTGTGGCTTGAAGATATCATAAGATAGCACTGAACAAAGCGCATGTGCATGAGTGTATGTGTGGTTTTTGAAACAGATGTCTTGGACTGGACTGTGGAGCGACTTACACCTTACAACCACCTCCCTGGGCCCTGCTACAGCCTTCAAACATCACACGTATGTGACAACGACACGTGTGAATTTCTATAGTGCAAAGACTGCTGTTATATAGCCATGGGGATTCAGGTTGCACTCACTTCAAAGGCAACCGTCGAGGCCATCCAAATTATGACCCAGGTCACGAATGTCTTGGAAACAGAATGCCTTTCTACAACTTCCATGCAGCCTTTACGAGTGCACTCTAGGGCCCACAACAACACATGACTCCGGGCTTACTTGCGAGCTCGTTTGGGTTTCGACTTCGTCGAATCGGCTTCCAGAGCTTCTTGATCCCGCTTTGCCCTCTTTCGAGGCTCAGCGCTAGCTTTGGCGGCAGCCTTTGCCGCTTTGTTTTTCGCCGACGCTGCCTTCTCCTTCGGGACAGGCTTGGTGCGAAGCAGGGTCCTGCAGACGGTAGAAATCAAAAAGCAAAAATACGATTCGAAAGATTCCAGAAGCAATCACACTCACGATCATACGCAGTAAATTGTCAAGAGAGTATTAAGCACGATACTTTCTCAGTTTGACCTCTTCCATCAAAGCTCGGGAAGACCTTCGCAATATTTTGGGATCTGGTAATGTTCATGCGATGGTATGCGTTCATAAATGCAAAGGTCAAGTGAGGGCCAGGCTCCATCTCAATGCTTCCCACGAGCGTCTTGAGCGCATCAATTTTCCTAACATTTGCAGGACCACATGTTTGAGGGTGACACAGCCCACTACTTTTGTAAAATTCAAACCCTGATCTCTGAAGCTAAGTTTCTCCTTGGCGGGGTCAAGACAACACACACTCTGGGCATCAAAATAAGATTTGAGATCAGCCAATTCGTCATGGAGTGAGACCAGCTTCGATTTGAAGCCAGCAATCTTCTCACCACTCCTTATCTGACAGCTTGGTTGCTTGGACTGGTGGGGCGGGCCAAAATGAACTATCCGCAACACACATTATACAGGTAAGGTTCTGCTTCGCTTCAGGAGTATTCAAGTTGTTCAGCTTCTCCAAAAGTGTCTCCATTTTGGATTGGGTCTTCAACAGGTTGCCCATAACGGTACTCACGTTATCCACCGCCTCACATGTATTGGAGCGATCGAGTTGGAATGGGTTGGAGTATACTCAATGAAACTGCATATAAACATTCCCAAGCCATGTATGCTACTGCCTCAAGCGCGCTTTCTAATTCCAAAGGTTTGCCGCCGGGGCCCACGGTGGTCCTAGCATCATCCTGATCCTCATCCTCTAACCCATTCTCATCTTCCTCCTCCTCTTCAGGCACACCGGGTGGCATCACTGGCTGAATGCCAAGATCAAAGGTGGCCGCTTGGCCCTCGACGCAAGTCCGATCTGTCAGGCTCTCTTCATGCTCGTTATCGAAGCTCCCAGTGGTCTCAACATCAACCCAATACTCTTTCACGTTACTCTCGTACTTGTCCCGCCTGCCAAGGGATGCCACTCATAGTTTTAACTCCACAAATATTGAAAGCAAACAATGCTTATAGACCAACACTGTTTGTGCATCAAGCAACCCACGAGAACGCTGTAAAACAAAATACTATATATATATATATATAACTGCGTTTGGAACAACAAACCCCTCCTGACATGGGTTTTGACCCGCGATGGGTGGGTACAGTATTGCACTGCCTTTGCAATTCGTGTCCTCAGAAACCATGAGCTTCCCCAAAAAGGATTCTCATGAGGGACCATGCATGACCATGCATATATATATATATATATGTGAAAGGATTACACTGAGGTTCTGACGCACTCCATCCAAGTTTTTTCTTCATGTTTTCCTTGGTGTAGAACCCCGAGTCTACATGGATCTTGGTTTTGCGGCTCCGACGCTGCATATGCTCGATGTGTTTCTTGAACGCCTCCTGCATGCATCGCAAAAAAGTTAAGACCAACAACCCATCGTTCAAAGTTGTTCACATGCACACTGACCCAAAAGAGCGTGACCAAGCCCGATCCTTATCCCCATTGACACTGGCCAACACATCCAATAGAGCCTTCCGCTGTGATCCCCCTGCTAGCCACTTCTTGTAGATGTCCTGACTCACCTCAAGCTTACCCGAACCCCTTTTGGGAGTGCAGACCCGCCGAAGAGCAGATTCCAACTTGCGGCTCTTCTTCTCCGACGAGGGGTCGTCATCGTGAGCATTCTCCTGATGCAAAACATGCCGACATACATGCTGTCAAGCATCCGCTATAGACCTTTGCAGGCACATGTGTTTTGTCAGTTCATAGCAGCCAGGATTGCGTTTTGTATACAATAGACTCAATGCCCCACTCGAATCGAAATAACAGAGCCTCCGCTTCAGCACGTGGTTCTCCACCAGTGACCTGACAAACATGCAGAGCCACAAAACCTCCAAGTGTTTCAAAATGCTTGAATTAAGGTGTGTATACATGGTCAACTCCACCCCTTAAGAAGAGTATATATACTCATTGATGATGGGATGTGATGTCAGTGGGTTCACCTTCAAGTGCATTCCCAGCCTCCTCCGTTGTAGTCTTGACAGCCGCCTCAGACTCCACGTTGCCCGGGTCCTGCCAGAGTCCGACAAGATGCAAAGAGAGCACAAATTTGAACATGCAGTAAGGCCCCCATCAGCCAGATCACGCGCCGCGCGCGCGCGCGCCGATACTAGTAGTTATGAAGCCTGAAAATGGCGCGCGCGCGGCGCGTCTAGCCAATAAGTCTTTTTGAATATATGTTTGATGACATCCTATACCAACAAAGAGATCCAACGAGCTATAGGCGGTCCTTGGGAGTCAGAACCTCAACTGTCTCGGGAATCTCATCGCCACTCTGCCGGACAGAAGGCGTACCTGATCCAACCTTGGACGGACCTGCTTCAGGGGCAGAGGGATGGTCATAGCGAACTGTGTCCTGAGTCTGAAAGTTGGGCAGTTCGCCCTTTCCCTTTCCTTCACCCTCGGGTGTAAACAAAGCTCGCTTTGCCTGCGGCGTAGTTGAGGTGCTGGCATTTTGCATTGCCTTCAGCTCGCCTTTTGCAGCCTTTGTCTCAGAGACCCCAGGCGGTGTGGGACAGACACTTAAACTGCGGACACCGCCAACATTTCAACTCCGGACTAAATCATGCAACTTGGGAACATGGATCAGGTCATCAAAGCTGAGGCTCTGATTGCGAGTATGTTGCTCCAAAAGGTATGAGTTCCCACGAAGCAGCGTGCTCGCAGACCATTGGCGGGAAAGCAACGTTTTGGGGGAACCTTCGGTGGCCATGGTGGCTGTGCTCACAGCTATCACTGCAAACCAAAAAGCCTGAACACCAGGAAGTGAAAGATGTCAAGGGGTTGCGATGGAACAACATGAAATGACATCACTGTGCAAATCCATACAAATCCCGATCATGGACACTCTTCATTTTCCTGGCACGAGCTTATGATGATATTGCACCACGCAGCTCTTGATGGGATCATGTGGGGTTGGGAGCCAACCACTTGGCAAGCTTCTCGGAGCCATTCAGGATCGTAAAATCCCGATCCTGGAAAACCTATAAAAGTGTACCATTATAGGGATACATTCGCTACGGAAATTTCCGCCACTAGTTCGCCTACAACAGTATCCTTTCCCCGTTTCCTGTCACAGTGTACCATTTTTGGTGGAATTGTTAAAATACGACTTTGTTTCGCCTAAGTGGTGATTTGGCCCATGGCTTGCATACATGATCTATCTAATTAGCGTACAGGTGGCCAAAGATTTGATTTAAATCTTTGATGGGAACCAGCCACGCCAGTCGTCGGGCAATTGGACGCCCGTCCCCCCATACAGGTAGTGAAGAACATCAGACATCCGTGCATCCCTCCACAAGTCGTCCATCGAGTCGAGGCATGGCAAGACATCATTTGGCTTGATCTCGTCGATGGTGGGCACCTTGGCCGGCCAAGCGTTTTGCGAGGGCAGGATTGAATCTGTGTGAAATGGTTTGGATGGGAAAGGTGATCGAATCTCTTTTGCGTTGGGAAAGCAAGCTATGGTTAATGAGATGTCATGCCAGCAAAGACATCCCTGAGGTTCGTGAGACGAAGATGAATACAATATAGTATCTATCAAAAAACACCTTCTCATTGTTTACCAATTTACCTTGTCCTCTGCAATGGTGTTGGGCTTGGACTTCTCTTTCTGAAGCAGCGGCATTGTTCGAGTGAAGCGAATACCAAAGCCCACAGGATAAACCCTGAAAGAGCGTCGGTCAGTCCACATGTCAACTGAAGCATTCAATACTTGAACAGTGCTTTCTTTGTTTTGGTATTCAACACTGAGTCCCACACTGTGATCCCTTCAGCCGAGAATTGCCCTGATACCTCTTCTTTCCATTGGAATCAATGTAGACTGTAGCCAACTGGTTCTTCTTTTCCCCTTGGCATACTTTTTGTGGGTTGCAAACTTCCTCACCCCACGGGAGTTGCTCCACAGAATCGTCCTCTTAGGAGTATTACTACCCCAGCCACGCATCCAGAAGGCTTGCCGCCAAACCTGAGATCCAGCAGAGGAAATGTGGGGTTTCGCCATGCATTACACTCCACATATATATATATATATTTATACACAATATTGTGTGCGCACCACCGTTCTTCATGGTATTATTCCACCGAGGTGCATTTGTCATTTTCAAAAGTTGCTGGAATCTGGGATGGCGATAGGCAAGGGAACTTGATGGCTGTTCTAAGACAAACACCATGCCACGAGATATCATGAGTATCATAGCCAGAACCATCCTGCAGGGGGTTCAACGAGGTGCAAGTTACGACATCTACGACCAATAAGAATAACAATTTAAACATATATACTATAGTGTCGTGTGTCTTGGAACCATGCACTCCTGCTGCAGAGTATATTGCCTAGCTGTACCGACTTTGAAGTGGGGTCTCCCAAAGGGAGAAAGAAGGAGCGGTGAGTGGTGCCACGGGAGACCGCCACAAAACTCGAACAGACAAGGCCGAATGTGAAGACTGCTGAAGGCTTGGACCTCAATATCGTGGATAGGAGAAGCCTGGGCGGAACAACACAGGGATGATGTTTCCATGTGTAGGTTTTGGGTTGGACTCATCAAGGGAACACATTTCAATTCATTCGTTGTTTAACAGATACAACTGCGCAAAAGGGCAATCAAGTTCATGAAATGAATGAAAGGAACCCAAAGCCGGCTGGAGATGTCAAGTCCAATGCATTCCCCTTGCAAAGCTTGCGCCTACCCATTCTAGTTCTTTCTGCCAACCACGGCGTGAAGTGAAGAATATCCAAGGATGCTGTGGCATAGCCTCCAGCTAGCAGGCATCGGCTGAGGACACCCTTCCCCGCAAAGATCTCAGCAGCATCATAGATCTGCGCATGTCACATGGGAAGATATGGGAAGTGCATGCATGCTTTAAATCACGAATGGGTGACTTTGATTCGGTGGCGCCTCATCCCATTGAAGACCCTCTGTGAAAGCCAGAAGGACCACTGCCATCATCAGGACCTCAACGGAGTAGTACGGAGTAGCCTACAGATTCCTCGCGTTGGGGCCCTAACCTCGAACATTGTTTAGTTGAAATGAACTTGGGGAACTCTCAAGTGTGGGCTGGTAGATGGTCCTGCCAAGGCACTCGGGGGGGCGTTCACGAGCAAAAGCTGGCGAAGGAGAAGCATCAGGCGTTCGTGAGGCATCGCCATGACCAGCGCTCGATTTCTACTAATGTAGGTCTTGTTACAACAAGATGCGTGTCGTGTACACCAAGTACGTCCATATGTTCATATTGCTTACTGTTCAAAACCCACAGAGTGCACTCAAGTGAGAAAAATGTTGCACAAAGAAAGGGACTGAAGATCAGCATTCTCAAATCACAGACTTGCTAAAATGACTCGAGATCAAACCCTTCTTTAGATCAGAAAGCCGGCAGCAGAGTTGCACCTTCACGTTGGCGGTTGGAGGTCGAGCGTCGGAATCTGGCCAATTTGCTCATTCGAAACGTAGTCGCCTGGCATGTGAACAACTGCGGGTTCAAAGTATATGCTTTTTCTATGTATACCATATATAGATATATCTGTATACATTGTGTACATATACATATGCAATCACCATATGTATGTACATATACTATTCTACTGCTGCCCTTTGAATACATAGAATCTATAATTACAATAAACATATATATATATATATATGTTGTATGCATGTATACCACGTGCTGTTGCGGAGACGACAGGTTTGCAAAAGCATTCATTTCTGCGATGATCAACCCTTTCCATTGAAACACTTGCGGTGAAAACCACATGTCCAAGTCAGAGCCCATTTGCTAAGCGCACATCCTGTTGATTTTTGCGGTTGACCCAGATGCGACGGTGTGTGTATATATGTTGACCCTTCCTTTGCAAAGTTCTACTCTATGGATGTGGTGTGCTTGGGCTTCGACAACCCCAACAAATCCACATATATATAGCCGTATAGCAAGGTTCTTCCCTGCTATAGGCACCCAAAACCCACAATTCAAAATCCTCTCCACTCAGAAGCAGCCGAAGTGAGTGCTCCATGCAGGACTTGATGAAATGATCCGCAAGAGTGGGCATACCTTGGGAAGGACCGGCATGAAGCACACCGCATGTACTTATAGACTTGTAAAAGAACACGACTTTCACTGTGCTTGAATGTTTTGCGAAGTGACAACAGGCATTCCAAAACAGGTTGAGAGGCCGTCAAAAAAGGATAAGCATGTTTGTTTGGGTGTCCTTTTGCCCTTGAGGTTTGCATGGGTTCCTTGTTGCTCCTGCATCATAGTTACAATTACATAGTTCGAAACAAGTAGAAAAAAGAGACACACACTCAAACATATATTCTAAAATTTGGTTGATTTGAGAAAGGTTTCCTGGCCACCCACTTGTTGCGCTTGGTCCAGCCATCACACTGCATGCTTTGAGTTTTTGCGGGGTCGCTTTGCTCGCGTCTGCTTTTCTGCAGTCTTGGTACGTTTGGAAGGCCCTTTTTTGGTGGGCTCTTCCGCAGGTGTGCTGCCATGTGCTTCTGGTGCAGGCAGTGCTTGCTGCTGGCTGTAGTAGTATTCCGCATTCCTACCACGGAAGCTGGAACGGCGGCAATTGCTGCAGCCATTGTATATGCAACGGCAATTTGCACAGCCCAAGACTTGCCCAGGCAAAACTCGATACATCCATGACCTGCCCATCTTAATCCGATCTTGGGCTGGGTGTTCAGAGTTATCCGGCTTGCTTGCCCCATCAACCTTGTTGGATGCGGCGGTTGATGATGTCTTGCGCTTTCTACGTGGTTCTGCGGACTTGGCTTTGGATCTGGTATTGGCAGCCTTTCCCTTGGCTCGCTTCCGGGCTGCCGGGTCAGGAACAAAAGTGGGCTCGTCAGTCGATGCACTGGCTTGCTCTACCAAACCCTCGCGGCTCTTACTTTTCTTCAAGATATTGCGCTTTGAGCGCCTCTTGGTGACACGGCCACCTGCACCTGGTGAAGTGTTCTTTTTGCCGGACTTTCCTTTCCCAGGTTTTCGTCCCTTTTTCATGTTACTCTTTTTCGTGGTGCGCATTGCAGACTGCATCATGGGGGTGATTTCCGGTTCTGATTCCTTGGCCTCACCCTTGGCCTCAGCATCGACCCCTGAGCCTTTGCCAGAAGCCGGCTCTACAGTGTTGTTCTGGATCTCGTTGCCCTTGACCTCAACCTCGGCCGGCAAGTTGGCAACCTGCTCAGGTTCCACCTGACGGCGGGGCAAGAATCGATAACCTGACCAATCTTGGTTGACAAATCGCAGAATTCTTAAGACACGATCCCAGCAAACAAATTTTGGCCTTCGGCGGTGTCTCACAAGGTGGTGGATGATGGGCCGCAGGGGGAGTAACGATCTGACCGAAGTCCATTGGCTGGGTCTCAGCCTACAAATGGATCTGTGCATAGGAACTTTCCAGACAAATAGCGAATAATAAGACGATAGAAAACTATAAACAGGATATACGGGCATGGCCCAGCCTCGGAAATGTCGCGCAAAGCAGGACATGGAACAGGTCGACCCTGGCCACCTCAAACCAGCAAAGTAGCTGTCAGAACTGAATGAGAGTGAAAAATCGGCCCAACATGGCTGCGATATACCTTTTCAACAACGGTTTGCGCGCCTTTGGCCAAATCATTCTCCACAGACCTTGGGGATGAGTACTGCGGCAGCAATATTTCGATACTATGTCAAGAGCATGTTTACAAGAGTACCTGGGCGCAGAACTCACGAGAACGACTGGCCAGCCGCATCATGTGAAGTTGATGCAAGACACTGTCCAGTTCCTTCTGCTGCTCCGCAGTCATTGGAACGCTGCATGCCTCGCCCAACACATCAAGTTGCAGTTGACTTTCACCGGGAGAGCCCACCATGGTTGGCTCGTCAGAAGCCTTTGGTGTCACTTCTGAAGCCAAACTTGAAGCTGACCGCTTCTCTCTGTACTGTGGCACATTCCCTGACTTGAGAGTCGGGTCAGGTGATGGAGCAGGTGAAGCAGCCTCAAAGCAATCAGACTCCAACCTGCTAGGAGTCTTGGAAGGATCAAATGCATGCTGAACATCTTCAATGGCCCACTTGGCCCATTGAGTTCGTAGATCCCGGATCTTCTCGAACAACGCCTTGACCTTTTTGTCCTGCAACAACTGATGGAAACACACATGCATGTACCAGGTGGGGAGGGAACATGTAAAGAAAAGCGAACATGCTGGCAACAAAAAACAGCTATATCTTTGACCGCTGCAGTCCCGGGGTCGCTGGTTTCTCTTGGCAGCGTCGTTTTGTCGACGAAATGCAAAGGTATAGAGCTGGCGCAGGTCCCAGGCTGCTATGTAGACTTCGCGTGCTCCAGGCTCATAGTTAACGTCTTCAAACAGTTTCTTCACCTGCATGCATTCTGTGGATGAAATACATGCATGGGTGATGGGTCATATACACATGGACAGCTATAGTAAGCACACCTCAACTCTTTCCTTACTCCCTCAACTCTAGTGGACACTGAAACAAAGACTTCGGCCTCAGGTTTGAGGTCATCAATGCTGATGAACTGGCCATCTAGCTCGTCAACCATCACAGTCAGAACATCAACATTCAACTCCAAAGCTTGTGTGCAAACCGGGTGAGCTGGTTCGATCTCCTCCTCCTGGGTTTCTGCTGGCGCAGATGTAGATGGCCACTGCAAAAAGAACTTTTGCTTCATAAGCCTGTGGCGAATGACCCTGTTGTTTTCCCATGCTGCTGCTAGCTGGCCGGCTGCTGCCATTGCCAAACCAACCCTCAGACTAGTTCGAGTTCAGCGCACACCGCAGAGCCTTTAATAGTTGCATGGTGATGCACAGGTGTTCGCTGCTTCATATGTATATGGCAAAGAAACATGTTAATCCAACATGCCCAAACATGAGCATGGATCAAACATTGCCCGTGGCAGGATTGGCGATTCATTGAGAAGAACATGCCAGCCGTACTGGGCATTGAGAGTGAGGAAATACTTGCTTCCTCCATCCTGCATGCTCAAGAGGTCGATTGAACAAAAATGACGGAACTGTTCTATACTTACCTTCACAGAGACAACCCCTCTTGTCGAAAACGCTACTGTCCCAGTCCTCATCGATCTCTCAGCCGCAGGGTCCGTCGTGCTTCCATGGGCATACAGGATATGGATACAAAGTTGTCATACAAAGTGCAAGCAACTTTCCTACATGGTCTACAGGTTCGTCGTTGGCACCTGTCAACGTGACTTGTTTTGCTTCAGTTTATCTATTGTAGGATGCCACATGCCCTTTGAGCCTTGCTCATGCTGAAGAAAACAGACCTTCAGAGGTGCCTGGGCACGCGGGGAACCTGAAGGCAGCGATGGGAAGTGTCAATATTAGAAAGTGTACGATTTTTGTTGGGTATCTGAGAAAGTGAAGCCAGAAACATGCAACTATTCAAAGTTTACCTTTTAAACAGGCAACTTTCGCGATCCAGGAAGGTGTTTTTACATAATCTCACTCAGTTTCCTCAGAATTAAGAAGTTGTTGGTTCAAGAGTTGCAAGGGGAGAAACCCAGAACAAATATTGGATGTGGTTCCCTTCCCGGTGCCAGGATACTTGGCTCACTTGGCTCGTGGGATGCATCCGTAGGACACCCAAACAGACACAGTTTGACATCAAAAGGGGACTTTGACGTCTCATTTTCAGTGGATCCCAGCACTAAAGCCTCAAAACCTCAAAGCACAAGGTTTTGCTAGATGAAACATGTTTCAAGGGTTTCGGGCCGTTTCGGGCGGCTCCTCCTACGCAGTATACATACCAAATCTATCCTAGTGGATCCCAGCCGTGGTAGGAACCAGAGGCCCTATTCGTCGGTCGGAACCGGTCGTCGAGTCCTGCGCTTAAGAAAGCGATGTCGCGTGGCTGGCCTGGATCCCCTGAGGTCCACGGTCCACACCAATCTTCAAAGTTTCCACAGAACCCTAGACCTCCAGTCGTACCTTCGTTTCGAAGGTGAGACTGGGGTGGGTGCCAGCCAGTCGGGTCCAGTCATACCGAACCGGTTTGGAGGGAGTCTGGAGGTGTAGTGGAGTCGGACCGATCGTCCAAAGGACGTGTTCCTGTTTTCCAGGTCCACATGTCAGATTGGATAACCAGTCCGACTGACCAGTTCCAGCAACAAAAAGGTTA